GTATGTAGTGAGCGGTGAGAATAGAGACGCCTCTAAACATTTTGGTCACAACATCGCTCACAAACACCGCCTGTTGTGTGGAATAGGGCTTTAAGTTAATCGCCTTCAATGCGAAGCCGTTTATGTCGGCTCTTGTGATCTGATGTAAAGATCTCAAAGCGTTGGATGAAGTGCTGGCCTGCGATGCCATCAGCCAATTGTTGGACTCGTCCATCGCCGGAGCGCTGGTCCGCGCGGACACCTGAGGCGCGCTTGAGAACGAGTAGTCTTTGTTGACATTGTATTTATGGTGAATGAGCTTCGAGTTGGGAGGACTGCACTCTTCGATGTGCAGCGGACACAGCGATGGATCCCATTTGAGGTCATTCAAGAGACACAGGGAGTCATTGGACTGGATGTGGATGTGCTCGAGAGCCGCGTAAGCGCACAGCATTCGCAGGTAAGAGGCGTCCCATTCAGTCATTTCTGCTTTTTCCACTTTCACTAACAGAACCGTTTGCTGGACCAGTGATTGCGGCACATATTTCTGGACACCCTTTGCATTGTTGGCCTTTTTGGCGATGTATGGGATTATATGAGAGCCCGAAATGTTGATGAAACCCAACCAATCGATACCACTCTTTGAGAGTCCGAAGTGAAAGATATCTTTACTCGTATTCAAAAACTTATACAATGTGTTGACGTCTGGGAGACAGACGACCACGTCTTTGGTGGTGAAGGGATCGCAACCGAACTGATACTCGCAATGGTTTACATTGATATCATTCAGAAGTTTGGCCTCATTTTCGGTCATATAATAGCTCTTTATGTTTATACACGAGAAGACATTCCACGGCAAGAATGAGCTGAACTTCGCGATCACCTGAACATCGGATACAATGACAATCATTAGTACAGACAATACACGCAAAACAACGATATCATAGTCAGGAAATCGATGGTAACCTTCGACTCGACAATCCTGACGGCCACCAGTCGTTCGTCTTCGCGCAGAATCACCGGAAGCGGTATATCGTTCACTGTCTGCCACCCGAAGACTCCGTCCACACTCGACGAGTCCACTGTTGACGACTTGTCATCGCTTTCGTCACTCTTTGTCTGGAAATAAGAAATAAGACGTCACTCTTTGGCACCAATTAGTGGCAGCCATTGGCTCACCATTTGGTCGCATACCTTAGTCTCATTGGCGGCGGTGTTGTTGTTGTTGTTGTTGTTGTGATTGAGTCCTGAAGTGGTATTGCTTTGCATTGCATTCATCGACAGTCCATTCAAAGCGCTGTTTGTATTTGTGGTCACATTTGAGGCGAAGAAGTCTCGGAACACGTCTTTGCGCTCTTTCTTCACATTCACGTCACTATTACTGTTAGGCATGTCTTCCAACCACTTCTCCAGAAGTGATGTATTTCGTGGTAAAGACATGTCCATCGCTTCCCAAATGAGTCCACAACTAATCGCTCACTCAATTCAGTTGACAATCATTTCTATTGACACCAAAAATGCCAAAAACACTACTAATTCGCATACATTTCGCACATTAGGCTCAACTATACTCGAGTTCAGTGTTTGAGTTACGCCTTTCTTACGCATCACTTGTTAGCGTCGACTCCACTGTTTATAAGCACAAATTGACTCAACATTTAACGCAAACGCAATCCGCAAACAACGTAACCAAAACGGGGGGTGTTTTTTGATGGGAGTGTTTGGCATTTGGCCACAGGTTTTGTCGTAAAGAATAGCTGTTCGAGCGTTGAGTGAGGGGTCAGTGACTATACGTGGGATTGAGTTCATAATCGTCGCAAAGTGTGTGACAGTCAGTGAATGTGTGATTCATTGATTGTATTGAAAACATGGAGTGTTTAGTGATTTGAATGCAAAACAATACTATAATTGCTTTTTTAGCGTTTGTTTTGCACTCAAAAAAGCAGTGATTCGTACGAAACAGTTGTGTCGGCACCGAATCCACGCCCGGAACCGACGGATAAACACATTGACCACCAATTGCTGGACACATACACAGACATCGCATTGCCATCGATTGGGTGACTCTATATATGACTGCGATATTGTCTGAATGTCTTCTCGTGAGCCATCAGTGGAAGTGACGACAACGCCATCGAATCAGCAAAGAATGAATGGATTATCGTTTAGTGAGTTGTGTTGTCTGTTCTGTTGCCCCCCCTGTCCGGCCAGAATCGCCGCGAAGTTGGCTTTCCTGCCGCCCGAAAGCACCTACAACTTGGTGTCCGACTCCACCGACTCTAAGCACAGCCTTTCATTGACCGAAAGGGCCGAATGGCAGTACACGCCCCGCGAACTCGAGGCCTTCGACGTGTTCTTCACGCGAACCAATCGCGGCAATCGGATCGCATGTATGACCACTCATTGACCACTCATTGATTGCATTGCTTGTAATGATTGATTATAATGATTGTAACGCTTGTGGCGATAGGTATGTACGTGAGAGCGACCCCAACGCCGAAGTACACGATTCTGTTCAGTCACGGAAATGCCGTCGATTTGGGACAAATGAGTAGCTTTTACTTGGGTTTGGGCACAAGAATCGGCTGCAATATCTTCAGCTACGACTACTCCGGCTATGGGGTCAGCACTGGTAAGCCGTCGGAGAAGAACCTCTACGCAGACATTGACGCCGCGTGGCATTCGTTGAGGACTCGATACGGCATTAGTCCCGAACACGTGATACTCTACGGCCAAAGCATTGGAACCGTTCCCACAGTGGACTTGGCCTCGCGTTACGAAGTCGGCGCCGTTATACTCCACTCACCGCTCATGTCCGGCATGAGAGTCGCCTTTCCCAACACGAAGAGGACCTGGTTTTTCGATGCCTTTCCCAGGTTTGCATAGCATATATCAATTGCGATTGTATTGATTGTGTGTTAATTGACTCATTGATTGCTTGTATGGACTAATAGTATCGATAAAGTGCCGAAAGTGACGTCTCCAGTGCTGGTCATTCACGGCACAGAGGATGAAGTGATTGACTTCTCGCACGGCCTGGCGATGTACGAGAGGTGTCCGCGCGCTGTGGACCCCCTGTGGGTTGAAGGCGCCGGTCATAACGATGTGGAGCTGTACTCCCAATACTTAGACCGACTCAAGCAATTCATTTCCGTTGAGTTAGTCAACTGACGTCACATTAGGTTTAGTGGTGTTTACTTTAGACAACTATCGGATCTATTGATCCATTCTTTCTCATCAAATATTTTCAAATAAAAAAGACTTCATTTGTAATAATAATTATTTATAATAATTTATTCATATATGAAATCATATCTAAATTTTGTTAAATGATTTTCACGTAATAAACAACTTTTTGTATTACTTTAATGGTTGAAAAAACTGAAAAAAGCATACATTTCTCAAAATACTATCCCTTCCGTCCTATGTATTCATACATTGATTTTTTACAATTTATTATTTAATGGTTTTAATCTTAATTGATATCATTTTCTATTATTATAATTATTATGTATTCATAAATTTTGTATAAAATTATGTTATTTAGAAAACCACAAGTTTCTTAATTTTACATTGTTTTTGAAATACTGCCTAAAATAATAATTTTAATTTTCATTACTAACAAATCCTTTATAGAGTTTGTCTCTAACACACAAAATGCTTCAATTGTTTAGTTTAATACAACATCTATTAATCAATCCATTAATTGATTATTACTTTTTGATGAACAAAAACGAATTGATTTATAATATAAAACTTCAATTTTGTTTTAATTTTTAGTTTAATTTTTGTCAAATAATTTGCTTTTTATTGGAAATATATTTTCAAAATGAATTACAATTATTGTATAAATGATTTTATATATAAATACCCAAACATACGAACAATTGCATTACAATTGT